TTTTTTTTTAGTAAAATGGATTTGTTTTGAACCAATTCAATGTATCAAAAAATACCTAAAATATTGTAGGCAGGCGTATTGATCAGTTTGTTTGATTTCCTGGTATTAGGATATCTTCAAGGCATTGTTTTATCATGATGACGTGGTTAACTTGTGGAGTTCTTATTGAATTGGTTTATTATCGATTCATCGAACTATGATGGTACGAGCGCAACTTTATTAAGAAACAGAACTAAAGGCGGCTATAAATCCTCTAACCAATAATCGATTGAACCTTTAAACAATATTGATTATTATGTCACAATTTCCTTTCAAATCCTCAAAATTTATCATCATATATCTGTGTTTCACATGGTTTCTTGTAGTGAAAAAGGGCAGGGATTTTTTTTTTTAATTTTTCCTTTTGTGGCTAGGAAAGTACACTAAACGTAGGACTTAAGGAAGTAATTTAATTGTATATGACCTTTTGAACATCCCTACAAGGCAGTGCATAATATTTAGTAAATCTATGAATTGTTGTGACTTACCTAATGAAAACACACTTACTGCATTAATGGGTCTCATAAAAATATTAACAAAAGTTTATTTTGAGTAGGAATATGACGTGCACACCAACTCAGAGATCAACTTACTTTCATACCATATAAATTAATTACTATCAAGGAAAACGATATGCTATACTAGAAGCTAGCACAGATGATTAATGTAGAGATTCCAGCTAATATCCCTTGTAATAACAATCTTAATATTCGGGAAGAGGCTTCCTTTAAGCATGTATTTCGGGAAGCTGACTTCACAGCTGATACTATTGCAAGTTTAGGTCATGGTCTTGCTCCGTCCCATACGTGGGAGCATGAATTATCTCTGAGTTGTTCTATTCCGTTTTATTTTGATTTAGTTGGGCCTGTGTGCGCTCGTAGTTTTCAATTGTAGTTGTTTTTCCTTTCCTGTAAAATTTTTAAAAAAAATCTTAACATTTGACTATAATAGGAAACATCTCTACTTCGAGAGATGAATTTCTATCTGTGTTGCATCGTCTTCTTTTCACGATAATGCAAACAGATAGGTAGAATAGAGGGCAATGAAACCGGAAGATGTAAGTTATTAACTTAACTATTTTCCTAACTTATTCATAGAGACCCATATTGTGTTCCCATAACTTATCAATCATGATTTTTCGATGGGAAGTCTACTAAGGAAGTGACTCATAATCTTCCACCCCTGAAGGTGACAATGGAGAGAAAAAAATGAAAGCTTGACTCAAAATAAATATTTCTGTCAGCTGCCATATCAAAATCAAACTATTGTTTTGTTCATCTCCCTTGAACATTGGACCGCTATTTATACCTAGGAAATGATCTCTATTTCCTTCCCCTCTGTAGATAGAGTTATCCCACTAAACTCCATTGAAACTAAAACTCCAAATACCAATTTATTCAGTCATTGAAAATTGAAAAAAGCAAAAAGAAAAAAGAAAAAAGAAAAAGAAAGGTTAAATTGTTGTTTTTTTGCTGCAGAAAATTTACAGTTTGGTGAGGAGCCATGTGGTGCATGCCTTTAGGTTAGGACCCCATATGAGGGCATGAGGGCTTTGTGATACTTTGTTGTGACTGTTTCTGCAATGAATATGTGCAATCCATGTGAACCCATCCACCACTTCATTGACTGGCTAGTTTTCTATTATTATTGAATTGAATGATCTGATGAGTCTCTGAAGTCTCTGAGCCGTGAAATGTGCAAAAATCCAAACCCCATTTCTCATCATCTCATCTCTCTCATAGAATTCGATGCAAAAGTCTCTTCTGCAGCTTCCCAACTGCTTCTCTTTGTTTTGTAGCTTTCGGCAAAGTGATATGGACGCTCTACATGTCCTGCCTCTCTATCCCTTCCCATAATTGGTGCCAATCTCCCCCTACCCATAAGTCTTTGCAATCATATAACTCACAAAGTCATTTGTAAGGAAAAAGAATTCCAAATTCAATCCCGTTTATTCTTTTCAGATTTATGTAAGACTTGTTGTCGCGTAACATAATGTCATAATAGTTCAGTTAAAAGATACACATAATTCTATATCGGAAATAGATGATTCGCTTAATAGAATCAAAACTGAATTAGATTTAACTTATAATGAATCCGGATTGTATGAGTTGGGAACAATGTTATACAATTCTACAAAAAGTTTTTATTTTATTTTTTTGATATCAAATACATTCAATAATTTGTCACAAAATAGGTGGTTTGATTTATGGTTGGAAGGCTCCTACCTCATGACCCACCAAAGAAGGGTGTGATATGGAATACTCTGTCTTGACGTGCCTCAAATTATGACTTGAAGAAGAGGTAGACCCACTTTTGATGGGGGCATTAACAATTTAACATTATCTTATGGTTTCAATGCTAGCCATACCCAAGTGGTTTTGTCTAGATTCACCTAGGTAACCTAGTAAGGTCATGCATTCATCCATTCACAAGTTCACAACGGCATCATTTCATTTGTCCCTTTTCAAGCTGCAGCCATGTTTTTTGTATTCTATGTACCTATAGGAAGAAAAATAGAAGCATGAAAAATTCAAATAATTTCAGTTTTCAAGTCGTTTTTCTATGGGTACACGCGTATAATTATTAGTCAATATTAAGACATCTGGAGATTTGATCGATGTTTAGGACTTTAATTGAATTATTATAATGGTGAGGTTGGAACCAACAACACCTAGTGCCTAGTGACATCCACCATTCAAACATAAATATTATTATCAAGTAAATTAATGGTATTGACCCAAAAAAAAAAAAAAAAGTAAATTAATGGTGATTCTACTTGAATTAATCTCATGAATGACATGAGTGGTGGTAATCCTTTTACCTTTTCCTTTTCAACAACCATGACCGGACACAATAGTAAAACAAAATAGCATGAAACAAGTCGTTGATTAAATTTCGGATTATACGTCAAATTTGAAAGTGATCACATTCACATATAGCATGTATTCTCACAAATAGAATTGCGTTGAACGATTTCTGATCCTTAATGCATGTAAAACCCACTATACATCAACAGTCAGAATTTATCGAGACTTACTCATCACTCTTTCTTGTTGCTTTTGTAATTAGTAGTAATTAGTTAAAGATTATGTTTGTGTTGTTGGGAAAAGGGCCCCAAGTTTCTTCCATGTTGCTCCCCTCAAAAAGGGAAAATAAATAGTCGATAATTGTAATCATGTCAGGTTTGATTTCTCATATTCTTACCTTGGAGACCGACACACGCAAGTCATGTGAAGTTTCTTTACAGCCAGTTCCTCCCAATGTTCTCTTCAAACTTCAAAATCTTGGTCCTGTCTGTCGACCCAAAATCACAATTAAAAAAAAAATAAATAATAAATAAATAAATATATATATATTATGCAGAAAGAAAAATGAAAAAAAAAAGAGTTATCATTAAAGTAACATAAGTAGCTAGCTTTTGTGGTGCTTACTTCTCTCGTGCATCTTCCAGACTTTGACTGCATGATTTTGTTTTCCTTTCAGTCACACTGTCTCAGTCGTGCATGCATAATATTATATTTTTGTACTTTTTTATTCTTCTTTTTGCTTGCCTTTAATTGATTTGGAGCAAATGAACACGTCTTCGACTCTGCTTTTTCTAACTTTGACGTGTAACGTATAGCATGGTGTTCTTGTTTGTTTTCAATCTAATTTCTGTTTTTCCTCTTTTCAGATCTAGTTTTTCTAAATACGTGTGTGAACTTGACCATAGGAAGACTAGTTTCTTAAATGTTTTCGAAGTTAGAGAAATTCTATTAACGATTGGAAGGATCAGGAAAACGAGACTGCTAAATTTAATACGTTATTCGTGAATGCTGATCATTTATGATAACATAATATCATTTTTAGAGATTTTAAAAAAATGTAATATTATCGTACAAAGTTATGGTAATATCAAAATAGTATATGTCATATAAATCATGTTGAATAATATAAAGTTTCACATCGAAAACTTCAGTAAATAAACTACAACGTATAATAAGTAGGCCCAACATGATACTTTTTAAAGAATCTTCATTATCATCCTTTGTCCAAATCGTAAAGGTTTTGATAATATGATTCTTTATTTCCAATTCCCTATCGTTATATGCAATATATCTTGTTCAATATTTTAATGTTTTAAAGTTTCATTATCACTAACAAGTGTCATTCTAAACCTTTTCCTATTTCATCGATCAATTTTGTTTTTT